AGTCAGCCTATTTGCCCCCAACAATCTGGGTCCTCATTTGACACACCTCGGAAGGATGGAAGGCTGACTCAACCTTGAGCCAGTGGGAATCGAATTGCCAAACTGCAGCTAGCAGTCAGCAGAAGTAACCTGCAGTAAGGCATTCTAACCACTGCGCCACCACGGCTCAAAGATAAACTACAGGTAGCTCTCGTCTTACAACCATTCATTTAATGACCATTAGAAGTCACAAGGGCATTGAAAAAGAGCGGCTTATGACTGTTTTTCATAGTTGTGACCATTGTAGCTTCCCCATGATCAGAATTTGGATTCTTGGCAAATGTCTCATATTTATTACAATATGAACAACTGGCTCCTATTTATCACCACTGCAGTGTCCCGGGGACATGTGACCACCTTTCTGGCCATGGATGTTAAGTAAATCACTACAGTTGTCCAGTTAGTAATACAGTTGTTAAGTGAATCTGGAGGTGCCGGATTCACTTAACAATTGAATTACTAACTTAACTGTAGTGATTCACTTAACACAGGACTGAAATCCTCGGAAGTCTGTTACCAGTTCATTGAGTCTGCTACCGAGTACGTGTGCATGTGTGCCTGAAGCGCGCCTGCACAGCGCTAAAAAAGGAACATTTTGAAGCCTACCGAGTCTGCAAAGGTAAGTAGAACAGTGACTGGGGAGGGGGGCACTCCACTGTCCACACGATTTTGGTTAGCTAGAAAACAGGAAATCCAACGATTCTTTTAGGCAACAAAAACGATATGCACAGGTACAGTATAGGTGGTACTTTGCTCAATAGTAGCAACTGTGAGAGGGACCTTGGAATCCTAGTGAATAACCATTTAAATAGGAGCCAGACGTGTGCAGCAGCTGCCACAAAAGCCAACACAGTTCTAGGCTGCATAAACAGAGGGATGGAATCAAGATCACGTGAAGTGTTAATGCCACTTTATAAGGCCTTGGTAAGGCCACACTTGGAATTTTGCATTAAGTTTTGGTCACCACGATGTAGAAAAGATGTGGAGACTCTAGAAAGAGTGCAGAGAAGAGCAACGAAGAGGATTAGGGGACTGGAGNAAAAAAAAAAAAAAGAGCATTAGGTTTCCAAGCTTTCTTTCATCTGGACGCCCTCAGAATAGAATCATGATTTTTCTATTTATTTCTTTTCAAATGTATTTGCCTTCTGGAGCCATAAACCTTCCCTTGGCAGTTAAGTGTGATGAGGCTGGGTATCTGAAGTCGCTTATCAAGAAACAGCTGTTGAGTTCATGGTGTTCTGAGCTTGGTTGTTGCCAGCCATTGGAAACACCCAGATTAGCTGGAAACAGGGCTAAACAAACAGCCAGGGACAAAACAATACTGTAATCAAGGAATTCTCAAAGAAGAAGCAGATGGCAGAACAAGCCACCATACACAAAGAGCAAGCAAACAGCAAGCAAACTTCACTCGCCTCTGCACTGATGATGTTACTTGGCGTGGTAGATAAACGGTCTGCAGGAAGAGAACCCACTTCAGAGAACGCCAAGGATAGCATAGTTCAATCCTGAGCTACATGTTATTCACTACAGTTTTACTACAGTTTCACTACAGTTATTCAATTTACAGTCCCTTAGAGACCATTTGAAGTTAACAACGGACCCTCAGTTTTGAAGTTCAAACATCACTTCCCCTGTGGTCACATGATCACAATTTGTGCCCTTGGCGACTTGCCCACATGTACAGTCTTTTGCAGTGCTCTGTGATCATCCGAGTGCCGTTTACGAAGGTTTGGCCAGATTTTCTGGATGCATTTGCATCATATGCTATTGAATAGAGTTATTTAAATTTGAGGTAGGCGTAGCTTTAGGCTCTAGTGTGAGCCGAACAGGTTTGGTAGAGTTTATGATGGAGGGTTTTTTCCAAAGTCGTAAAATGAGTTAATTCAGGATCCATCCACGTTGCATGAATGCAGCCCAGGTCTCCATCCAATAGACTGGAAAGGGGGATAAGGTTGGGAGAAGATGCAAAAATGTAAGAGACACAACACGTTATGGGGAAAATAGCAAGAGGAAGGAGCATTATGTATATTTCTCTTTCTCTTTGAAGATGTTTATGGAAATTCTCAATCATACAGGCCGTGGCTGTTCCAACACGCAACTGGACTTTCCCGGTTTTTTTTTCTCCAGAATAACAGAGTTGGAAGAGACCTTGGAGGTCTTCTAGTCCAACCCCCAGTTCACCCACAAATGCACTAACGACAAAAGCGCGGCTGACTAAACCGCGGTGACAAACCACGCCGACAAAAGCACGCCGACGAATGAGCGCTGAAGCGCGCCGACAACAGCGCGCCGACAGAAGCGCACTATAACCCTAACCCTAACCCTAAACCTTACCTTAACTTAAATCGCGCTTCTGTTGGCGCGCTTTTGTTGGCGCGCTGTTGTCGGTGCGCTTTTGACATCGCGGTTTTAGCGCCAGGGTTTTGTCAGCGCGCTTTTGTCCTTCACGCATTTGTCGGGTCACGCAACCCCCTGCTCAAGCAAGAAACCCTACTATATATTGTTTCAAACAAACGACTGTCCAGATTCTTCTTAAAAACTTACAATGTTGGAGCACCCATAACCTCTGGAGGGAAGTCATTCCACTGATTAATTGTTCTCATTGTTAGGAAATTTCTCCTTAGTTCTAGGTTGCTTCTCTCCTTGATTAGTTACCATCCATTGC